AGTATACGATAACCTTCAGCAGCACTTTTCTTCAAAATAAAGTAATGAATTAAAACTTCCCACAAATGCTCTTTTTTTGGCACGAATTTGACATTTTTAAGCATAAAAATATCTATGATGTTAACACCTTCAGAAAATTTGACATATGAAGTTTTGAAGCTTACTGTCAATACAACAAAACAGCATACATATCAAATCGCATATATATCAACAAATATGTAACTCCATCTATTGAAAACAATCCACATTAACCGGTACACCTGGTATTTCTATCTTATCTTCCAAGTCGCTGATTCGATCCTCTGTTTCATCCAAATCTACTCTTAATACCTTCCAGTATGTTCTTAATGTCATATATATCATTCTTCATTTCTGTCTGGTTGTTGTTCATAGCCTCTATTTCCCTTTTCTTGCTGCTGTAATTTGCACTAAGTTCCTTAGCATCTTGTTTTGAACTCCATGTCTGATAGGTTGCTTGTTTCCATCTCGTACTTCTTTTTCTAGAGATTCCCTCTTTTTTCTCATTGGGAGTTGTTTCTTTGTATCGCCATTTTAGCTGTTTTTTTGTATTTGCTTCTATGTATTAGGTAGAACTGCTATGCCTCCCAGTCTTTGTGGGAGGGCCTTACGTAGGATGTGTCTTGAAGGGTCCAGTGGTGTAGTCTCTTTGTTCACCTGAGCTGGATGCTCTCTCTAGGAATGCCCTTTGTGTGCATTGTTTGGGCTCTCCTGTTGTAACTGGGACTTGATTGTTGATGTCCTGTTTGTGGGAGGGATCACCCCTCCGACTTGCTGCCAATGAGGTTCACCCCTCCAACTTTGTGCCAGCTCTTATAGAGAGGTACTTTGGGTCCACTATTTGTGGGGCTCAATTTTGTTGAATCCTGTCCGTTGGTGTGTCTATCCTGGGCCTCCTGGGAGCTTCTCTAGTGCAGGTGAATGTGAGTCACTGTCCTTTGCCATAGACCAATTCCAGCATGCCATAATTTCAAGAGTTTCATCAAAAGGTTGATGAAACTTGGGGACTCAACAGGGTTGAGTCACACATGTAGTCACCTGTTGGGAATGGCTAAAGGCATTTCCCCAAACCTGAACAGGAAACTGATTGTGGCTGCCAGACAGTTAAAGGGCATCTTAATCTACATGGTATTGCCTCCTGCTGGCCAAACACCTGAACAGCCGTGGGCTAATTCCCCCAAACTGACCATGCTTCTGTACCCTTTGAAACCTTACCCTTTGAAGTGTATTATCTCCACCTTGCCTTAGGACAAATTGTGTTAATAAAAGCAAGGGTCCTAGACAAGGAGGGAGTCTTCAGTTCCTTTAGCTGAAGGTCCTCTGACCCCCAATGCCTTTCAAAATTATATTTCGCCTCCGGACTCTTTATTAGTCTCTGGATTCCTATGTCATCTACGCACAGCGCCTTTTCTAGATTCCTGAACCCTTCTTGATGCTGGGACAAGAACCCCGGCAGTCCTTTTTGGCTCTGGGCAGCCTGACTGAGGTCCGAGATGTTGAATCCATTAGTCGTCCAGGGGTCAGGGACTCCTTAGCCCAGAGACTGTGTCTGCCTTGAGTCTCAGCCTTGATTGTCCCTGTTCTGAGCTGTACTCCCTTCCCCACAGAGCGTGTCTGCAGGTGTCAGCTGCAGGTGCTTGGGGTCCCACTGGCTTTGACCTCACTGAGCCATCTGGGATGGTGTCTGTGGCAGGGACCCAAACTGCTGTTTCATGATAGTATGTATTTAGATGTCAGATTTCAAGAGGTTAACAAGTGAATGATTTATAAGTACATTGAAGGTTCATACTGTAGAATGCTCTTTGCAAAGTTCAAGAGGAAAACAGAGAGAATAATAACTTGGGGAAAATAAGAATCAAACCAAGAACTTTTCCTTTTGCATATATGAGAAGCTTAAATAAAATTTTAAAAAAAGATAGAAAGTGGGGGAAGTAAAAGAAAGTAATAGGGGGAATAAATGGTAATGGAAGGAGATTTGACATGGGATACTGAACACACAATATACAGATGATGTATTATAGAATTGTACACCTGAAATCTATATAATTTTATTAACCAATGTCACCCAATAAAGTCAATAAAAATACATTAAAAAAGGAAAATATATGAATTTTAAAAATATGTACTCTGAAGTATCCAAACCAGGATGTCTCAAGTGCTAACAGTTTTCCTGTCATGGACTGCATGTTGGTGTCCCCACAAAATGCATATGTTGAGTGAGCCAGAGCAAGCCAGGGGAAGAGCTCTCCCCGCAACCCAGCCATGCTGGCACCTGAGCTCATACTTCCAGCCTCCAAAACTGTGAGAAGAGAATTAAATGTCCATGACTCAAGGCGAGTCTTTGGTGTTTTGTTCTAGCAGCCTCAACCGAGTGAGGCAGCTTCAAAAAGGTATGGCTTATTTTATTGTGCAAAATACTATCAGCTGGTATCTCTTCATGAAACCCAGACAGACGTGAGGAAGAAGTAGTCTAACTCAACATTCCCTTGCTAAATCTCATATCCCACAAAATCTCCCCATTACAATATTAGTGAAAAGGAGAGAAAAGTAAGAATGCTCTTTGCAAAGTTCAAGAGGAAAACAGAGAGAATAATAACTTGGGGAAAATTATACTAGTATCATCAACAGACTCCAAAAGGTACGGGGGAATGAGGTGATAGGGAAGCAATGCTGACCTACTGCCTTGGGCAGAAAACTAACAAAAGGAATCACTACAGAACAAGTACTTGGGTTCCTTCTTAAATGCGCAAAGTAAATCTATCTGATAAAACAGCTTTGAAAATGGCTTAGAAAGTTTAAAATAAATATAATTTATAAGTGAATGACATTTGTGTTAATTATCCAGTTAATAAATTTTACTCCAAAACAATGTATAATCTCACAAGTTAGAAGCTGCCTGGTTAAGAGACCCTACATTAAAGCAATGTCACCAGTTGCTTTGTTCTAGTCTCATCTTCCAGGATGTCCCAGCTCTGCTTGGCTCCCTAGACATGAGAGATTCTTTTTTACCCATGCTAAGTGCACACAGTCTGAAGAAGTCTATTTACACAGTTGATAAAGTATTTGTGATGTCAAAGAGATTGAAGTTAAAATGCTAACTCAGTTCTCATAAACTCATCCTTCTGTAAGGAGGTTTTCCTTTGATGCTGAGTTTGGAATCTTCTTAAAAAACACAACTTTATGGGGACTCGTGGTTCAGTTTCTTCCAAAAAGGGCATTTCAAGGGTTGTCAAGAAACAAACACACAGAGAATCCACACCCTACTTCCCTGTGACTGCCAGGCCAATGGCATGTGTTGGCTAGTGTTACTATCACTGGAATATTAACATTCAAATCAAACAACAAGCTTTCACACAGACCACAGATCCACAGATCTAGGAAAATGGGGTGGGGGTAGGGGGAAAATGGAAAGTTGCAAAGGTATCGAAATGAATGGGGCTAAAACGGTAGAGTCCCCGTTCCTAAGGTGAGAATAAACGAAAGGAAACTCTTTATAGAGAACAGAAAAAAGTCTCAAGAAATTCAGAAGCTATTTCTTACTTATGTGGATACTTAGGAAGAAAAAACATAAACTTGACATGTGTTTGGCATGGTACACAGCTCCTGTTGAACTGCTGTCCTGTAAAAGGTTCATTAACTACATAGAGAAAACTCCGGTCACAAAACCCCAGCAAAGACCTATGTGTATGTCTCTAACAAAGAAGCATTTACTGCTTTATAACCAAACACTGAGGCCTCATAATTTTATCAGGAGATATAAATTATAAAGTGTCGTATATTATTTTCCTTACATGTTTATCAAGCTAGGAACAGCTACACCTGGGGAAACCTCTATTTACAGACTTTTGGCTGTATTAGAGAGACATGGTTTTCCTTTGATGCTGAGTTTGGAATCTTCTTAAAAAACACACAACTTCTGCCCTAGCTGGTTTGGCTCAGTGGATAGAGCGTCAGCCTGCGGACTGAAGGGTCCCAGGTTCGATTCTGTTCAAGGGCTGAGGGCTCGATCTCCAGTGGGGGGTGTGCAGGAGGCAGCCAATCAATGATTCTCTCTCATCATTGATGTTTCTCTCTCTCTCTCTCTCTCTCTCTCTCTCTCTCTCTCTCTCTCCCTCTCCCTTCCTCTCTGAAATCAATAAAACTAAAAATATTTTTTAAAAAACCAAAACCTTCTTATTCTTCCAGAGATTATTTTAAAGAATTGGTCCCAGGCCCTGCTTCTGCTATTCACTTTTCTCAAAAAAACTCATTAGATGTCAAAACAAGGAAAGAGGGAAAGTAAAACTAGGCAAAGGCAAAGGGAAATATGTGTGAGCTTCACAAGGTGGCTTCTCGCATGCCTGGGAGACAGGACAGAGTCTGGAAATACTGGTGTTTCAATCACCTGTTACAAAGCTGAACGTTCTGCTGAAACCTGCTCTTCATAAAAATTATTCTAAAAAGGTGCCATTTTGAAATTGGGGAAACTTATGAAAGGCATAGACAAATATTGCATCTTACAAAAATAAAAACTTAAGGTATTTTTGCTGCTGTGGATAAATCATACAAGCATTTCCAAAAGATGAGGTGATTAAAAATAAAGAAACAAATAAAAAGTAAAAGATCCAAAGAACTGCTAACACACATTAAATCACACAAATTTTACATGATCCAAACTGCAAATGGGAATAAGGAAGAAGATAGTAAGAATTCAACGCCTATTCATGTTACATGGAGGAACCTGACCCAAAGATATTAAAGACACTTTCCTAACATGAACAAAATGAAAGAGAAGATGAGGAACGTGGCCTATTCTTACTCGACAATGTTAGTTTCTAGCAACCTTAAGCTTCCACATCAGCGCCACATTGGCCCCAGGCTCCCTTTCCCTGCAGCACATCATGCCATGCAGAGCAGACACAGGAAGGCTGTAGTTATTTAAAAAAGGAAACAGCATGAAGCAAGCTCCACAGGTGCAAGGCTGATTAGCTATATGAGCTTACCATAGATCTCGGATCTACTCTCCTCTGAACTAGACTTTGTCTTCTTGGAGGAGCTATCTGCACAAGAGCGGGAGAAAAGGAGAGAGATATAGAAAATATGGAGACCAATGTAAGGGAAAAACTAATGGGGGAAAGGAATGAATCATGATCAAGTTAAATCGTGCAAAGTATGAACATCCAGGTGACAGCACTTAAGAATAGTCACAAACAGCACAGGTAATGACATATTTTACAGATTTACCAAAGAAAAGACAGTGCAATAAAAATATATTCAAACAAAACAAAACATGAATAGTCTACAAAATACATCATCTGAAAATTTTAGAGACAGCAAAAGCACTAAAAGCTATAATAATCTCATTATGAAGCATTACATCACTTGCTAAATGTGTCACATCACAGATGAACACTACAGAATAAGTCAATCAATAAGACCATAATACTTTTATGAACACAGGCAGAAAACTGACCCTCACTAGCAAGACAATAAGTCAAAATTAGGTGTCAGAAATTTTTTAAAAAGGTATCTTTTAATGGAGATCTAAAAGTTACATATTACATACTCCCACCACCAAAACTTTCTAAATTGATGACTGAGGTTTCACTTTTACCTACTACCGAAGATGCAGGTAAGTTATTAGCTATTCACTTTCTTTCCTTCCTAGATAACAAAAGTAAAAGCATGAAGCATCTTAATGAGACACAAAAATATACTTACTTTCTATTAAAAATTAAATTTTATTTCTAAATGAAAATATCTGAAAACAGATACATTTTATTTATGTACCTGGGACCTCAGCATTTACTTACTTTATCTATTGTCACAGGAACATACCACTGAATAAAATAGTATGTGCACAAAGAACACACATCGGTTTCAAATGGTGAAAGCAGAATTATCAAGTAATTTTTATAAATTAAATACTTGGTACATTTACAAGGAGAAAGCAAATGCCTGTATTTTACAAGAGGAGGTCAAACTCTGTATAAATAAAGGCTTTCCGTAGGTCACTGACACGAAAATGCTAGGAAAGGGTAAAAGACGTTCTGAGTGCAGAATCCTCTTTGACTGAAGAAAAAGGTCTCTTCATTTGCTTACTCTAAAATGATAATTAATTTTGAAGTTGCATTTTATCTACTCCAGACCTGAATGCTTAAATGACTACGGAAATTGGTAGTTGTTGTAGACTTAATTTTATGACATACTACTTACTTATTGGTTCATACCTATGACTTATTTTAATTCTAAGTCCTTGGTCGTAACAAAATACCCAATTATGATATAAACACTATTTCTATTATAATCACTATTTTTAAATATGATACACTTTACAATGAAGCTTCCAAAGTGGAATCCAAAATATTGAAAGTTAAAACTGCTTGCATTTCTCTTGAATGCAAAGTTTACGTCGTCACTGAAGAAGGAGGAGAGCCCTCCACAGAAGCCCTACTTCTGAAACAGGTGCTCAGGCAGTTATTCTGAAGCTACTGCTTTCAATATTCTTTGGAAGAACAAACAGTGTTTTTACCTGTGGGGTCAAAATCATGTGATGCACTGCGCTCAACTCTCTGCTTCTTATCAGCTGGTGACTCTCGGTTCAAAACACTTCCATGCCTAAATCAAACCAAAGCAACCACACATGTACTCCAGAACAGTCATTAGAATAAAAACTTAATTTAAACATCTCAAGTGTGTCTTACAGAGAGAGACCAAGAAATCAGTTTACCTTACACCATCTCATAAACCTCTCTATTTTTTCAAGAAGTTTTAAAATTCAGGCTATGCTACATGTAACACAGTGGCTCTTTACTTGGTTATAAAAAATGCTTAAAATTAGAAAAGTAGTATTCAGCAATAAAGTTTGTTTTATTCTTAGATATACTGCTTAAATTCTTTTAGTGGTTTTCAAAGGCTACTCATTATTATTTTCATTTAACAGATAAGAAAACCATGCCTACAAGTAATTCAATACATTTCCCAAACCTAAGTATGCCATGGTCAGATTTAAAATCAGTGTAAATATAGCACTGATGTTAGCAGTTGAAAAAAAATCACTGGGAAGGTGCACTTAAAACCTGCGAATAGTTCTAGTCACAGGAGTCGTATGCAAGCCCTGATGACACAAGAATTCTTCTTCTTCTTATGGTCTATCAAATTACATTGATCGATAATGGCTAGGCAGTAAATAAGACTGACTATAATGCATACACTACTAATTAATTGAAATCCCAAGATTAACACTGGTATCCTGAACTATGTATGGTGTCATTAAAAAATGATAAATGTACTACAAATGTAGGTAGGAATGACATACTACTTACATTTTAAATAATATTTATGACAAGATGAGAGAGAGATGTTGAAGAACAAGTATTATGAAAGAGGCATTTAATCCTGGGAAATTAATAAATGTGCAGATATAGATATGGGCACAGACATCTGAACATTTTGGATTTTTCCCTTTACTGTCTTAAAGGAATTAAGACTGACTCTGTTTGCCAAAGTTCATTAACTAAAGGTAGTTACAGTTACCAGATGATAAAACACATCAAAAACTAGTAATCCATTTACACTCCCTAAGCTATTCACAACCAAAAACAGTCACAATAGATTTTAAAATCTGTAATAGAGTCAACAATAAAAATAAATAATGATAATAAAAAGAAGAGGAAAGAGGGAAAAAATAAAAGCAAAAAAAAAAAAATGTAAACCTCTTCATAGGGAGTGACCTTAATACCGATTTGAACTTTTAAAATGCTTGTATTAGCCAAACCGGTTGGCTCAGTGGATAGAGCGTCGGCCTGCGGACTGAAAGGTCCCAGGTTCGATTCCGGTCAAGGGCATGTACCTTGGTTGCAGGCACATCCCCAGTAGGAGGTGTGCAGGAGGCAGCTGGTCGATGTTTCTCTCTCATCGATGTTTCTAACTCTCTATCCCTCTCCCTTCCTCTCTGTAAAAAATCAATAAAATATATTAAAAAAATAAATAAATAAAAATAAAATGCTTGTATTAAAAATATTGAAAATGTTATCAAAACAATGTCATCTTCTAGAAAAAATAGAAACATCTATTACATTCTAATTTGTAAAATATTTTGAAAATTTAAACTAAAATCCACATTTCAAAAGCCACAAAAAATCCACCATAATTTCAAAGAAATAATTCTAATGAAAATTTAACCTAAATGTATGAAGAACAACTGAACAACTTACCTTATAGGTTTTTTGAGGGGAAACCTGAAACAAAGTAAAAAAAAAAAAAGGGGGGGGATAAATGTAATTATTTCACTTGTAAGACAGTCATTAAATTTATTGCATTCTATTAAACCAGAATAAGGAATTTAAATTTTATGCTAACTTTCCCAAAGCAATTCAACAAACAGATGAAGAAGCTGGGTATCATTGTTAATATCTTAAAAACTTCATTAAATCCTAAATTGCAGGTGTATTTATCATCAGCTGTCCCTGAGTATGGTTTCTCTTTTTTAAAATCCAAATAATAGCCCTGGTCAGTGCTCAGTGGTTAGAGCATCGGCCCATGGCCCAAAGGGTCACGGGTTCAATTCCCAGTCAAGGCCATGTACCTCAGTTGCAGGCTCGATTCCTGGCCCCAGTCTGGGTGTGAACAGGAGGCAACCAATCGATGCCTTTCTCTCACACTGATGTTTCTCTCTTTCTTTCCTCCCTTCCCTCCACTGACTAAAAATCAATGGGAAAAATATCCTCAGGTGAGGATTAAAAAAGAAATCCAAATAAGAATAACAACAGCTAAATTTATTAAGGGCTTACTAAATACTAAGTACTACTCTAAACTGTTTATATGTATTATCTTATTTAATCCTAAAAAATAACTATGAAGATATTTCCATTTTACAGGTTTTTAAAAAAGGGCAAAGATATATTTTACCATTAAAATGTTATACTTTGTTTCCCTAAGAAGAAAAAGTCCCTTCCTGTCTATCACCTCTCCTCACCCCTTAAAAGACCTGGTGCTGATGGCTGCTCTATTGACCCTTCTACCCTTTGATCATGATCAAAGCATGATCCTCAATTACTTATGTTTAACTTTATAACAGGAACCTACAAAAAGTTACCATTGCAGTAGTATCAATTATTAAAAATATGTTCCTAAAGTAGAAAACAGAAGGTATGTGTTTCTTTTTTCAATTCTATAAGCTAAAAGAACTGAATCATTTCCTCTTGGTTGTCTTTTTTAAAAGCAATATTACAGGAGGCTTCTTGATAAGAGTTTGATGCTATACATAGATGCTAACCTAAGTCTAAAATGAGTTCTTAAATTTCTTCAATTTCTGTGCTTTTTAGAAATTATCTCAACCTATGGTGTTTTATGTAATATTATTTATTCTAGTAATAAAACAGGTAACATGTTACAAATATCAGTAAAATAGGGTTTTGAAAAAAATCTAATAGTAAAGATAGTAAGAGATAAATATAAAACAATGACACCTAATTGACTACTTTATTTGGCATGGAGTTTAGTTTTAAAAAAGTACAAGTTTAATTACAATTCCCTTTAACTCCTATATAAATCAAAGTTGATCCTAAGAAAGACAAAGAATCTAAAAACGTGCCTAATAAGCACGTTAACTCACAACGAAGGTAGGAATAACAAGGAGGGGCTCTGGGTAAGAGAACACTGCGCTGGAGAATATACTGACTACAAGCGATGACCAGCCTTCAGCAGGAAATGCTCCTCAGCAGTCCCTCCTTACTTGTGGGCAGGGGGTCAGGAACATGTATTTGTGATTCACAGATGCATACGAGCATTGGAGGGAAAAAAGAATGTCCAGCCGAGTTTCTGCAAAGGCTAACACCTGCAGGTAGCAACCTTGGTCACTGCCTGGTGGCCACTGCAAAGATTCCTACCCCCAAGCATGGCTGCTGGGTCAGGGACTGCCACGCCCAGGGAGGTTCTGGTAAGAATCGGAAGTTCCCAGACTAGTGCAGGTCAGACAGTTTCCTGAGCTATTTCTCTTCCAGGGAATGAAAAAGGAGGGCATAAAAGAGGGAAAAATGGAATGAGAAGATGAAGAACAAGGACCACCCTACAGCATAACCAGTATAACTTGCTTATCATAATCTATTACTATATTCATAAAATACAGATAAAGAACTTTTCTCAAAAATTTTTAAATCATAATACTTTTTCTCTAGTCACTAAATTCCACTTTAGATTACGTGAAGCACATATGTATGTTCCTATGTATGTGCAGTTGCATATACACATAGTTAATGATGTCAGGGACATCATTAATCCTGGCTTTTGCACTTGTTCCCTCTGCCATGTGCTTGATGCTGAGATGGAGATGCAAATCAGATAGCTAGAAATAGGAAACTAGGACCCCAAGGAAAAGTAGTCAGAACAGGGTTTATTATAAAATTGGGTTTTAAAATTGCTTTTTTAGAGTCTGCAGAGTTGAGTCACCCACCCATAGATGGTCACTAAAATGGAAAACAGCATGTAAAGATGAAGGATCGCCCTAGCCCCGTGGTTGGCAAACTGCAGCTCCTTGAGTGTGGCTCTTCCACAAAATACCACATGCGGGAGCGCACTTACAGTGCGATTGAAACTTTGTGGCCACACTCAAGGGGCCAAAGAGCCGCATGTGGCTCGCGAGCCGCAGTTTGCCGACCACTGTCCTAGCCGGTTTGGCTCAGTGGATAGAGTGTCGGCCTGCAGTCTAAAGGGTCCCAGGTTCGATTCCAATCAAGGGCACATGCCGGGGTTGCGGGTTGCGGGCTTGATCCCCAGTAGGGGGTGTGCAGGAGGCAGCCAATCAATGATTCTCTCTCATCATTGATGTTTCTCTCTCTCTCCCTCTCCTCTCCCTTCCTCTCTGAAATCAATAAAAATATATTAAACAAAAAAAGATGAAGGATCAAATCCTGAGGCAGGTGGAAGGGGAGGTAGGGAGACTAGCTTCTAAATGACTGTGAATGTGAGACCCAATAAAGATGATGAAGAAGATAAATCAGAAAAGAAAAAGAGCTGTCATGGGGCCAACAAAGAGGTAATCAATACTATTAAATGCTGCACAATGCAGGTATAAAGGCTAACAATTGGCCATATTCTAAGCAACAAATTAGCCCAATACTATGCTGATGAAATAATTCTGGTGTTCAAAACTCTGTATTTTCAAATCTCTGTCCGTTGTGTAGTAAGTAATAAAGCTGTGGTAAACTCCTTTGGTTAGATATTTATGTAGAACAGCTACATTTGAATGCTGATACATATAATGTTAGATGTGCCTAATCAAACTGTCTGCCTTTTGAAAATATCAGTGATGATTTGGACACATAGCCAAACAATGAACATGTTTGTGCACCTATTTATATATGATGTATATATGTATATATGTATGTACGTATTTTTCCAGATATAAGACAAAATCAAAGTACCAAAATGAAGAACCATAATAAATAAAAAGATTATCAGGAATTTGAGTATAAGGTGACTAGACACCCTTATTTTGATTACCTAATTTTCAATTGGTGTGCTGCAAGAATTTTTAAAACATGCAATACCTACTTAGAGCACTGACCTCTTTTCCCCCAGTGGTTCTCAACCTTCTGGCCCTTTAAATACAGTTCCTCATGTTGTGACCCAACCATAAAATTATTTTCATTGCTACTTCATAACAGTAATGTTGTTACTGTTATGAATCGTCATGTAAATATCTGATATGCAGGATGGTCTTAGGCGACCCCTGTGCAAGGGTCGTTCGACCGCCAAAGGGGTCGCGACCCACAGGTTGAGAACTGCTGCCTTAGACTGTGAAATAAAAAAAATGACAACGGCCAACACAACCACAGCTATCTTGTGCAAATGTATAAAAATTATACCTATTTTTTGTCAGATTGGCAAAAAAATATACTTTTGGTGAGCCACAGAATGTTAGTAATTAGTTTATGTGCCATGAGATGAAGAAAGCTGAAAATTGCTGACCTATACTCAGCATACTCATATGCCAGAAATCCTAACCAAAGGCCTTAAATGTCACATACTTGACTAAGGATAGATGCCTTTCCTTGTTAGTTCTCAGCTCTATTAAAGCCCTAGGTAACAATATATAGCAGCCTCCCCCATTTTTTTTAAATCCTCACTTGAGAATATGTTTATTTATTTTGAGAGAGAGAGAAAGGGAGCAGAGAAAGAGAGAAACATATGCACTCCATATAAACTCCAATGAGAAATCAAATCCTCAACCATTTTTGGTGTATGGGACCATGTTCCAATCAACTGAGCCACTGTCCAGGGCCTAACTTTTCTATTTTTACAGACTTTCCAATATGTTATTATAGTGAACTAGAGGCCCATTGCACTAAATTCATGCATTTGTAGGGTCCTTAGCAGCTGCTGCCGCCACCGGAGCCTCCCTCCCTTCCCCTGGCCAGCCCCACCCCCTCTTTGAACTCCTGGACAACCTTCCGATTGAGGGGACAATTTGCATACTATGCTTTTATTATACAGGATAGGGAAATGTGATTAAATAACCCTAACCCCCCAAAATTATATAATGTGTAAAGCTTCCATTTTTAACTAGGTTTAAGTAGTCTACAACAAATTCGTGCACCAGTGGGGTCCCTCGGCCTGGCCTGTGGGATCAGGCCAAAACCAGCTCTCAGACGTCCCCCAAGGGGTCCTGGATTGTGAGAGGGCACAGACCAAGGCCAGGGACCCCACTGGTGCATGATCAGGGCAGGGGAGAGATGCGGGAGGTTGGCCAGCCGCGGAGGGACCACAGGAGGGCTCCAGGGCGTGTCTGGCCCATCTCACTCAGTCTTGATCGGCTGGACCCCAGCAGCAAGCTAACCTACTGGTCAGAGCGTCTGCGCTCTGGTGGTCAGTGCACGTCATAACAAGTGGTTGAGCAGCCTTAGCATATCATTAGCATATTACGCTTTAATTGGTTCAATGGACAACCAAACGACCGGACACTTAGCATATTAGGCTTTTATTATATAGGACTAGAGGCCCGGCGCACAAAATTCGTGCACAGGAGGGGGGTGTCCCTCAGCCCAGCCTGCACCCTCTCCAATCTGGGACCCCTCTCACAATCCAGGACTGCTGGCTCCCAACAGCTCACCTGCCTGCCTGCCTGCCTGCCTGCCTCATTGCCCCTAACCATTTCTGCCTGCCAGCCTGATCACCGTCTAACCACTCCCCTGTCAGCCTGATTGACCCTTAACTGCTCCCCTGCCGGCCCGGTCACCCCTAACTGCCCTCCCCTGCAGGCCTGGTCCCCCCCAACTGCCCTCCCCTGCCAGCCTGGTCGCCCCTAACTGCCCTCCCCTGCAGGCCTGGTTACTCCCAAATGCC